CTTTTTTGCTCTGCGTTGCTTAGACACTATTGCCTGCAACTCTGTCCCAGGGATAATGTCACTCTTCCAGTGTAGCCCGTATTAAAGCTTTTCTTCATCAGGAATGTAATTTTACTACAGTGTTAGATAAAAAGGGAAGAAAAAGTATGTTGAAGGATTTTGGTGGAGGTTGGAATGGGGCCACATTTTCTTTTGGGTTAGGATAGACCTGAGAGGTGCAGAATTTCTGTGAAAAGCAGCAGAGGTAGAGCAACTCCACTATATTTTCCTTTATTTCAGCAGTGTTTAGGCAGGCTGTGTGTTCACCACTTAAGTTTAAACTCAGCCTCCCGTCCTGCATGCTCAATGAGGATATTTTTCTGTACCTGATAAAAGTCTCGAGACAGATAGCAACTGTTTTTAAAACACTTTGATGATAAAGTGCTGACTATATGCTTCAGGTTTTTGAGGTTTGGAATGCGAACTGGTCATTTTGGTGTCTGTGAAAAGGTTAGATACCAGCTCTTCTGGTATGTAGAATAGGTTTTCAAAATAGATAACCCATAACAGAATGCTAGCAGTAGTATAGTTAATGATACCTATGCAAAACATGGATGGCAACAACTAAAACTATGCACAGACATATCAATACAATCTTTTTTTGCTTTTTCTGCAGTTTGACATATAGTGGTGACAGTGATAGAGGGGCAGGTCTTTTCTGAAACCAGAAGTTGTACTTGGCCATTATTTTCTTCCATTTTTGAAGGACTGAGAGAGAAATTTTTTGAACACATGGTGATACAAAAGTGAATTGTGGTTGAGCATCCAGCTGCTAGAAATTTGGTTTCGTTTGGTTATATAGAGTTACTATCCAAATGTTAGAGCAATAGAATTAAACAATTAGTTACCTAATTCTAGGATATGTTTGAAAAATTAAATACAAAAAATATTACACAGTTACTCTTTGGGGAAACACACATACATGGGGGGAGGCCCACGTGCGTTCTCTAAAGCAGAAATGACTTATGTAATTAAATTACACAGAAGAGAGAAAAGATTATGGCAATGTCCTTCAACCCTTTGAAACATTCCAGTTCTTACAGTGTGAATATGCAAATCCCCAGGATCTGATCCTTAATGTACAATTTTGACACAATCAGATTACTGAAGTACGAAGTCAGTGGATAAATAAACTTGTTGTGGTTTCTGCATTTGTAATGTCTTGCTTCAATAGCGTGAGTTCTATACAACAGTCTCATTAATACTTAAATCTGGGATTGTATCTTGCTTCAATTGAAGTCAATGGCAAAATTACTGTGGGAGCAAGACTTGGCCTGTAATTAAGTTAATAGGGTCGAGTGTTATTACACTGTTGAATTGGCACTCAATGCCATTAACATCAACCAAACAAAAAAAAAAAAGTCTTTTAACAGTGACTGATGTAAGACAGTGTTAAATGTTGGTTTTATAACACTTTATGAGGAAGTGATAAAGCAATTGAAAAATTAATCATAAGGGGAAATACTGGAATTTGAAATGTAGAGGAATCATTACAGTTCATTAATTTATGTGTAAATACTGATGTTTTCCAGCAGAATTATAAAGTGCAAGTGAACTGAAATGGCTGGTTTCATTGAAGGCATTTTACCATTATCACGATATGGAGTTTAATTTGTTTACGTACTCAGCATTGGGCTGATCCACATGGAGAAGTAGTAATAAACAAGGGCTTTGACTCCTGTTTGTAAAGAAGCAATTCCAGTTACTGTGATAAAAGTGCTCAAAGAAGATGTGGAAAGAGCTGAAGATCTATTGATGTTTTGTTAGTTTACTAAAGTAATGGTTAGAACTAACTATATAAATAACAGACCAGTAAGACTATGTCAGTGGGTTACACATATGTCTTCACAGCTTTACCGATGGACTCCAGCAGAGAGCAAAGTTGAATACTGTGTGCGAAAACATGGTCAGTTTGACACACACTGGGTATTTGCTGTAGACTTGCATGCTACTTATGTTCTGTCTCTTTGTGCCAGGAACAATGTGTACAGGAGGGAAATGGGCCAAACCATGAGTTATCAGTGCTATAGTGAGCAGATAGTATGCTGGGACAGCCCACACTGCTGTCCCAGCGTTGAAGTCCCATAGAACAAGGGACATGAACTCTGTAGGCTGTTCGGCTGTTGAGTGTAGCACAGTGCCAGTGTTGGGCTGCAGATTATGTTTTGGCATGCAGTTCAGTTTTTACTGATATGTAGACAGTCATGCTGATGAACTGTGCCAGTAGTCTGCATTCATTTTTGGGGGGTGGGGAAGGGGATGACCCAAAACAAAGCAACAACTTATTTTCTGAATATTATCATTATTAGTATTGGTAGTAGTATTTTTCCTAGATTGCAGAGTTGGACAGACACCAAAGTAGGATCATTTTGACCTTCAGACCATATAGAGAGACACAAAACCATATTCTTATCCTGATACACTTTTGTTCAAGACTAAAGGTAGTCTTTCTATATTATCAAAATGGAAGATTGGAATATAAGAGGGAAAAAAGTTGTATTGAAACTGTGTAGGTATAGTTTCATTCTTCTAAAAAATTCATAGATCCTACATTTATAAGTACTTCTTTGCTGTTGCTACTGTTTCAAGTAAGTGTAGATGTTGGGGTATGTGGCAGAAAAATAATTGGAAAGTAATGATGTATGCCTATTAGTATCCCATTTCTAAGATAATACTATTGTTTGGGTTTGAGCATAATTCTCTAGTACTGCACAACACAGCAAGATCTCTATAGTGCTATGGCCCTAAAATTTCCACAAAAGTTGGTTTGAACCCTTTTGACTTAAGTAGGTGTTTGCTGAGATGCATTCTAAGGGACAAGTAATGCTTTCATAGGTATTTGGTACGTGTTATACTGCTTCCTGCTGTGCGCCATAGAAAGTGTATGCATTTCCTCAGAAATGCAGAAGTTGTTAATGGTACAAGTGAATACAGTGATTGTAGTATATCAAGACAGTTACGGATCAATAGCGTACAATCTTTGCACAATTATGGATAATGTAAAGTTATTTTGCAGAGACTGAATATTCTAGAAATGCATCAAAAATTGAGGTGGCTTTTTTTTATTTTTAGATTTTTAAATTGTGTTCAACGATAATTTTTTTTTTAAAGTATTGGGTTTCACTAGATTTAAAATGGTATGCATATTAGTTAAACCATTGATTACATGGAGCAATGAAATGGACAAAATGGCTATACAGCTTCTTCAGCAAATCACATTATACTGAATATTTGAACAAACAGACATTGCTTTGTTGTGGGGCTTATTTTTGTTTAAACCTGATCCAGCTCCTATTTAACTTGACAGAAAACTCCCTTTGACTACAGTTTGAGTTTTGGATCAGGATCTAACTATGTAATTGCCTGTACATTAGAGATACATTTCTCCTCTACAAACATGGCAATTTGTGGTGCTGCCTTTGCACTAAAATGTTAGATGCTGTCTTTGGTGTGGCTGGCTTCTAACTCTATTTTCCATTAAGGCTGTATTATCGAAGACAAATAGTTACATGTCAGTAATTAACCATGGATTTTAGGAAATTCTACTTAGCTGTTCTATTAAATGCGTTAATTTTTCATGACAGAAGAGTTGGCATGGTTTGATGGAACAGAACCCAGCTTGAAACCTGAGTCTTTATGACCCTGCTTAATTGTTGTTACATCACTCACTCCTTTTTGCCTTTTGGAAAAGACAAGAGAAAGTGGCAGAATACAATTCATTAATTCATTTATAACTTTCCCAACTGATAATGTTAAAATTAGTTTCATTAGTCATTGTAAAGACATTCCAAATACATAGAGACATTAATCTGGAGTGGCAGATTTTTTTTATTTTTTGTTACACAGACAAGAATCATTGTTGACTCAATAGTCAGTTCTATAAAAGCACTAGGCATACTACACTTACTTTACCAGGAACATGACTGACTGTGGAAAAATGAGATATTCAGAAGTTGTATCTCAGATCAAGACCAAACAATCCTATGAGAATAAACTATTTTTACACTAAGAGGAACTACATAAAACAGGGAAATTTAGATGCGAAGTTCAAGTTTAATGATTAAAATGTCTGAAGCTAAAAGTTAAGCTGGTTTTCCCTTGTTAATGTTAAGATTTTTAGATGTAAACTTCTGCTTTAATGCATACACTTTCTTAAAGGTGCACATGCCTCAATGGTATTAAATTTCACTTTGATGTAATAAGACTATTTTTCAAAGGCAAGTTATTAAATGTTACTTCTCTTATGTATTCTTCAATCCTGATTTTAAAGTTTTCTTTTTAGGAGGCAATATTTTTCATATTTTTGCCCAAATGATGTGTATTTACTAGTTCAAATTGATATGATCGATCAATAAGGTGTTTCAAAATTCCAAGTGTATGTGTATATAAACATTTGTCTATGTAGATATATATATTAATAGGATGCAAAAACAATAATTAAATTCTTAATAGCTTCAATGGGTAGTGGTGTTATTTTAAGACAATAGAGAGCACTCCATCTTCTCTAAATCAGCTTATGTTATTTTTAATCCATGAAGGACCCAAATATATAGCATATCTAAGTCATACAGCACAGCTGTTTTCAGAAGAGATGCTTTAATGTGGAAGAACAAGATACTTTCCAGCGCTGCTCATCAACATGCCTGGTGTCCTGCAGTGTTAACTGTTGGAGAATTAGATTGGCCAGTGATACCATGGAAAGTTCTGTGACAACATTACTGTCAGATCAAAACTCAAATATTTTTTACGTGATTTTTGCTTGGATCATATGGCATTTGTTTTGTTTGTTTTGGAAGCAAGTCTGTTACCTAGGTATCGTAAAGCTTAGAATATTGGTTGGTTGAGTGTTGATCAGTTTAGTGAACCAAATGCTAGTCTAAGCTTTTTATTGAATGCTGCTTTTGCATGTCCTGAACCAGCAATTCCTAAATAGTAATTAAATTCTCTGTTTATTCCAGGTTTGTAAGAAGATCCCCATTGCATCTCCTAAGAAAATTGGTTCTAGATACTTCTCTCTGAGAACATGAAAATAAAGGAAGAATGTGTGTGGATTTAAAATTGTTGTATTTATCAAGTTGTGGAGTGAGAAGTACTGGGGAAATCGCTTGCTCTGTTGCTTTTTGTAGATCTACTACGAATTGTTTCTGATGCAGCTGAGAAAAATGCAGACCCTTAAAAAGGAACACGGACCTGTTGACACAAGTAGCAATGTGGACAAAATCATAGTACTTAAGTCTTCTTTAGCAGAAGTGTCTGAAGAATTGTCTACAAATGAAGATATACTACTTACAGAAGCAAGTAGTGGAAAAAGTAAATCTTCAGCTTGCCGGAGGAAGCGAGAATTCATTCCAGATGAAAAGAAAGATGCTATGTATTGGGAGAAAAGGCGGAAAAACAATGAAGCTGCCAAAAGATCTCGTGAAAAACGACGGCTGAATGACCTTGTCTTAGAGAACAAATTAATTGCACTGGGAGAGGAGAACGCCACTTTGAAAGCAGAGCTGCTTTCGTTGAAGCTGAAGTTTGGTTTAATTAGTTCTGCAGCCTATGCCCAAGAGATACAGAAACTCAGTAGCTCAACAACTGTGTATTTCCAAGACTATCAGAGTTCCAAATCAAATATCAACTCATTTGTAGATGAGCATGAACCATCTATAGTTGGTAGCAGCTGTATTTCTGTCATTAAACATTCTCCTCAAAGCTCAGTATCTGATGTGTCCGAAATACCATCCGTAGAGCATACTCAACCAAGTCGTATACAAAGCAACTGCAGAAGTCCTGAAAATAAATTCCAGATTATAAAACAGGAGCCTATGGAATTAGAGAGAGAGCCAAGAGAGGACAGAGGTTCATACAAAGCGTCCATATATCCAAACTATATGGGAGCTACCTTTAATGTGTACTCACATTCTCCTCCTCTCTTGCAAGTTAATAGGTCCTCCAGTAACTCCCCCAGAACATCTGAAACTGATGATGGTGTAGTTGGAAAGTCATCTGATGGAGAAGATGAACAGCAGGTTCCTAAGGGTCCAATCCATTCTCCAGTTGAACATAAAAATGTTCATGCAACAGTTAAAGTTCCAGAAGTGAATTCTTCAGCTTTGCCTCACAAGCTTCGAATTAAAGCCAAAGCCATGCAAGTTAAAGTGGAAGCAATGGATAATGACTATGATACAACACAAAAGTTGTCATCCCCCATTGACATGTCCTCAAAACGACATTTTGAGCTTGAAAAACATGGTGCACAAAACTTGGTGCATTCTACTCACACTCCTTTCTCAGTTCAAGTGACTAACATCCAAGACTGGTCGCTTAAACCAGAACTCTGGCATCAGAAGGAACTTAATGTAAAAATTCAGAGTGGTTGCAAAACTGGAGTTGTTGAAATAAAAGACAATATCTACAATGTCTCTGAGTCAGAGAACCTGTATTTGAAGCAGGGCATAGCCAGCTTATCTGCAGAGGTTGCTTCACTTAAAAGACTTATAACAACACAACAAATCTCTGCATCAGACTCTGGTTAAGTTACTACTGAATAAAGGCTTACTGTTTTAAAGGATGTCATTTGCAGTAGATCAAAATGTTTTGTATTATGCTGAATTTTCACTGGACTTGTGATGTCATTTCACTGTAATGTTCACATAACGTCTAATTGGTGTCTTTTTGTGTGCAAGTTATTATGAAGACTAGGTTGTGTTATGATCACTATGCCTTGTGTATAGTCAAGTAGCCTGTACAAAGGCTGTATATAGTGAACTTTATTTTCTTTTGTTCTTCTACTATAAAGCGTGCAAGTTGCCAGTTACAATAAAATATTGGTGACAAACACAGAACATCTACTCCAGTTCAGTTGATTTTATGAACTTGTAAATAAGTTATTAATTAAAAACTGGCTTTTTCTTACACTGTGCTCAACTTCACTTACGTGATTGGTTTTTACAGCCTAACAACCAAATTGCAATTTACGTGTGTAATCCTTCCGGCCACCTTTTTTCCTTAACACATTTTTTAGAACAGAGTGGAAATAAAGTGAATATTTATAAATAAGACAGTACCAATTTATAGCCTTAGCCTTCTTTAACTTATTTATTAGTGAAAGTTAACCAAAAACCACACAAATTCAAACCCAGTAACTGGGTCAGTCTCAGATGAGACAGTATTGAGTTTCCTGAATGGTTTATGGTGACCAGCCATTTTTTCAATATTGTAACTTGGTATTTTAGGTGAATTAGTTAAGTTGGGTATGTGTATCTGCAAAGTTTTCAGAGCCTTGCAGTGACAGAATTGGGCACCGACATCTCTGTCAAGGGGTGGCCTGTGTGCGCAAGGGGTGCAGGCACAGGAGGAAGTACAGGCAGCAGCTATGCAGAAGAGCCTGTACTTTTTGCATGCCATGGTTCTCTCCAGGGTGGATGGTGGGCTGCCTCCAGGAGATGGAGGAGCTACTTCAGCTGTGAACCCTGAGCTCAGCTAGGCAAGTGTAAGGGGCAGGCAGGAGCAGTAGCAGAGCGAGACGAGATCTTCCACAATCTTAGTTCCTGGTGTGGAATGTAATGCAGTTATAAGCATGAAGTGAATCTTGCCACCGGTTTAGCCTTGATTTCAATGGCTTCGTTATTCTAACTGGAATACCCTAGCTTGTTATGGGGCGTTTTGTGAGAACTTCTTAAATGTATAATAGACTACCTGCAGAGCTGCACAACCCAGATATGACCAGCCCCTTACAAATCTTGCAGATGATAAGTTCTTCACTTGATGACTGGACAGGGCTGCGCTGCTCTTGGCCTTTGAGAAGAGCCATGGAACCATGGAGAGTAGCATTGCTTCACGCATCTGTCCTTGGTGTGGCTTACCAAAGTCTTTAGTTTTAAACTTAAAAATAATTTATAAATAGAGCATAGACTTGGCAGAGGTTCTTTTCATGATAATCCCCCTTCTGTTAACATACTAATACATCAGACTAACATGTAAGCTTTTTCCAAAAAGGCTTTTTATTAATTGCCATACTGTATAATGAATGGAACCTTTCCGTGGACTTAAGATACTAAGATAGAAAACAATATATAGGTATTGTTTTTAAATTCATACTTGAGAGGAAGTTTGTCAATTCTTTGGGGATATGAAGAGGAGTCCGAGTCACTCCCAGTAGCTCTGAAGCTTGGTCCAGCAGTCAAGGCAACAGCAAGCCTCCCCGATGTCAGCAAGGCCAGGATCCAATCCTGCACCTTTTCAGGAGCTGGTGGTGATGCACAGCCCTGTTTGGGAGGACCTTGGCACAGAAACCACTGGTACTTTCTGAGCTCAAAAAGAGCCCTTCAACTGCTGTGCTGTGTTTGTGGCATTCAGAGTTAATAAACTGTTATTCTTTTTTTCATGCCTTAATAATACAATAGACCCCGAAGCTGGGCTCTGTATGTATTTGGTAATTAATATAGATGACATTTCAATGTTACTGAAAATAAGCTCAGGATTATTGCATGAAATGTAAAAATTTGCATTGAATGATGGGGATATGAGACATGAGGCAGTGATTGCTACTGTCTCCTTGCTTGCTAAGTATCTTCTCTAAGCAACAATAAAATTCTTTAAATATTTTGCATATTATTTATCACATGTAATGTGTTCAAGGAGAGGACTTAAAACTCTCAGTGTTGCCATCTGTGTAAGCCTAGATCTGTTGGGTTTTTTTCCATTTCTTGTTAGAGTTGTTTGTCATAATGGAAGAATGTTGTCCTCTTTCTAGCTCATTATATATTTTGTGTATCTGTTTTGTGCAATTAATACTTAACGGTAATGATGTAGTTAATTTGTTGAAGGATGTCATTGCAAGAAAGTTACAGCATGAAGCTTAGGAGCACAATCAGATGTTATTTATACTCCCTTTATACCTTAGTGTTATGCTTCATTTGAAGAAAGAAATAAATAATTTGTCTTTTGTTCAAAACCAGATGTAATTAAACATGTTTTTCTGTTATGTTCATCATCCTAATCCAGCAAGAGGTGTTAGCTGCAGTTAATGACAAATCTTCCTGTGCTGAAGTTACTGTTTCTGCAGCTAACAGTTGATGTATCTTGCACAGACGATGTGAAGTGGCAAAATGTGGGAGTGTGGGTGGTAGATTCTAAGCCCCATTCCTGGCTGCAGTTGCAAACTGGGCAGATGAAACCCTCAGCTGCAGTAAATGTGGCATCGGTGGCCTCCTCTCACAGAGACCCTCACCCATCTGTAGCTGGCTTCAGGACATGGTACTGGGAACGATAGTCACACTGAGTGGGGGGAGGGAGAGAAGGCAGTGGGACTCTGCCTGCTTCACCTTTCAGCCGGTACATGGTATATGTAGGATGGGGGGAGCTGGGAAATCAGGTATCTGTGCCCTTCCAGCCTACATTCCATCCTGCAGGAAATAGTCGGCCTCCATGAAAGGAGTCCCCTTGGCTGGTCTCCTAGTGTCTCTAGTGGAGATCAGAGAGTTGATCTGAGCACAAAGTGGATGTCACATCCTCCAAGTTGTAAAAACTCTTGTAAGCTCAGTGATCAACTGACAAAACAACATTAAACATGCTGGAAGTGGAGTCCATCTCATGTGAAGGAATGATTAGAAAGTAACAGAAAAATGACCATGCGCTGCCTTCAGATGAGAACGATACGGGAGACCACCTAGAGAGACTGGAAACTCCAGAGACTTACCAATATAAATGGTCATTTTTCATTTGAACACAGGAATTACCATGTGTTGTAGTTCAACCCCAGTACATAGTTCAACTAAGTACCATGCAGCTGCACTCTCTCTCCCCGTGATGGAGATGGGGAGGAGAATGAGGAAAAAAAGGTAAAAACGCATGAGTTCAGTAAGAACAGTTGAATAATTGAAACTGTGTAAAATACAGTAGCAACTATGATAAGAGTAAATGAACAGGAATAAAACAAAAATGCCCCTAAGTGATGAACAATACAATTACTCACCACCCGCTGACTGATACCCAGCCCAACCCAATCACTCCATTCCGGGTGACTCTCCCCAGTTTATATCCTGGGCATGATGTGCTGTGGTATGGAATATCCTTTTGGCCACTTTGGGTCAGTTGTCCCGTCCCTGGTTCCTCCCTCATGTTCTATCAACACCTGTATTTTGGCAGGTACAAAGATTGGATGTGGATATGCCCTCACACATACTGATTGATTTTCTGAGTCCCCTCAACTCTGCTTTCAGTAAATTTTACATATGGTGTGGGATATACTTAATTTTTATTCGTATTCTGTACAGCCAAATATCCCCTTGTTCATGAATAGGTAACTGGCAATTCCTGCTTAATCTTCTCCTATTATTTTGGATGTTTTCATTATGGCCTTTCTGTCCATATGAGCCACTTACGAAACTAAAACCATTTATTTTCTGGAGAACTTCACAGAAATGTAAAATTGCACCATAAACACATTTCTAAAGTTTTATTACAATACCAACTTCTACTTGCTAGTACATAAATATGCTGTTGAAAATAGGCAGTGCACAATGAATTTAGCAGAAAACTCACAGAGAATACAATTAATATGGCCCTTATTAACACCATATTGTTTTAAAAATACTTTTACAGTTTATTGCACAATAAGAGCTTGGAAACTACAATAATACAACTAAACAATTTTTGGTATTTATTGCATAAGAATGAGTAGCACATATTGTTCCATTACAGTGCCAAGCTAAAAATACTAGGCCAAATCATAAGGCTTTTAACTCAGTGTTAGATTCTACTTCTCTTATGAAGTGGACTTTCTATGTGTGCAATCAGGGATTTAGTCAAGATGAGTAACATTACCAAGACATAATCTTTGCACTTCACTCATGGCACAGACTCCTACTGATTTTCCTATCTCTAACTCCCTTCTGACACAACAGTGATATGTGAGTCACTGTATTCATATCACTTAAGTTCATGTATAAAAGAGAAGGCAGCCAGATATTTAGCTATTGTTTATTCAATGGCAACTTTAAAAGGAGTTGGTGAATTATAACCAACAGCTCAGAGCAGAGGCATAGTGTTTATTTGCATGAAAGGGAAAGCATCAGAAGACATTTGGTTTCAGGATTCCAAAAAATATCAGGAATGCATCTCTATTTTTTTTCAGTTGAGCAGCCATTGCCTGTGTGGCAATCCCGATGGCTCTGACTAATGTTACGGTACTTTGTCTTCCTTAAACGCTATGGAACTCCACAGGATTACAAACAGAAGCACTCAGAAGAACCAAATGCATACACCGTAACACTGCCTTGATCTTCTGTGGGTTTTAACCTCCTGCATGGAAGCACCATTCCTCCTTATGCTGCATTTGAGACAGATCTGATCTGAGAAAGCTTGCATCAGTCCAAAATTCTGGGTAGCTATATGTCCACCCAGTACTACTGACATTCAGATAACATCGTCAATTTCTCCTCCGCTGTCCCTTGTTGCCCCCACAAATGGATGCACAACTTAAAATGTCAGGCAGTTGTTACACTTCTCCATGCTATTCAGATTAGTGGATGTGCAAGTGCCTGAAAGGGCATCAAAATTAATAAGCTATATATGTAAAAGAATCAGTCTATGCTGGTGTCTGTATGTGCCAGATTGGCGTATAGTATGTCTACATTTTTGAGGCATGATTCTAAACATGTTTCTTTCTAACAATTTGGGCTTCTAAAAATGCTCTTAAGTTTTGTATATAAATATACCAAGGACATATTGCATTGATTTTGATGGGATTTGTGTTACACGGCCATAAAAGCCAGGATATTAATGGTCTGTATAACAATCAGAAAATACCAAGGCATAATTCTGTATCAAATAAAATAGCTGA